GGGCCGACATCTCAGGGACTTGCCTGGTTTACAAGGGGTAAAAGGGCAATCCCTTCTTTCTACCTCACTCTAGTGTTCATTTTTGAACCCCTGGCACATTAGATCTGGTTAGGCTTCTAATGCTAATAACACTGTTTTAAACAATACAAAGGATACTATATGGAACAACAGTTATGACAATAGGTAAGCTTTATTCTCAACCAACTATACTCTACCTCAAGTGCAAGAATTCTGTAAAACACGGACACTGGTTCTGTGCTAGGATTAGCACAGCAAATTGAGAAAACCGGAGGTGACTCATATACAAGTCAGGAAAACAATGCATTGGTAAAATTATGATCCAATCAGGATTAAATAAAACAGTGAAATTATTATTAGTTTTAAAGATTTTATTTATTTACTTGACAGACACACAGCGAGAGAGGGAACACAAGCAGGGGGAGTGGGAGAGGGAGAAGCAGGCTTCCTGCGGAGCAGGGAGCCCAACGCAGGGCTCGATCCCAGGACCCTGGGATCATGATCTGAGCTGAAGGCAGATGCTTAACGACTGAACCACCCAGGCGCCCCAAAACAGTGAAATTATTTTTTAAAGACTTCTTTAATAAGAATCTTTATTTAAGGTGCAATAACAGCCAATTTTCTAACAAATACCCTAATGGAGGTAAAGCTGTTAATATTAAGAAGTATACTTTAAACGTGCAAGGTTTAAAAAAGACTCATGCACCTCATCTAATTCTCGTTTAAAAAAAAAACTCTTTCAAGCAGATGAAATGAATGCACATAATGGGGCTGGACAGCTGTCTTGCTCTCTACTATATCACCAGTTTATTCTTTCCTGGCCATCAGAACCACTGGGTGGGGAGGTTGGCATGGCTTCTCAAACAGTCCCATCTTCTTGTGAGTTAAGGGGCAAGGCCAACTATACGTGTATATTGTACGGACATCACCATGCCAGAAAGTGAGTTAATAGCTTTCCCTCTTATCACTGAAATGTCCCAAATTTATGCTTCCCAGTTCTCAATTTCAATTTATAATTTGGCTTTGATGCTTTCCTTTTCACTACGTCTCCTCCCCACAAAGTAATTATTCACTGAGCCAGAGAAAATAGATTCTGAATGAAGAATGCTGAACTTCACATGTACTCACTCATCCAACAAACTGCAAAGTTACTTTACCACGTTACACTCTATAATGAACTTCCTAACAACTTTATCAAGTATCTTTCTCTTTACTACCTTGTCCTGCTGGTCTCGAGCTTAGGCTACAATTAAAGTTCCTTCTTTACAAAGTTTACCTACTACCACCTCCTTTACATATCCACCCCGAAACATACATGCACACCCAAACACACATACACTTCAAGGTTTAAGCATTGTGCTTAATGCTTAATGGCTGCTCTGCTCAATTAACTGAACAAGTTATGTGGCTCCTGTCTGATGAACCTACTGGGGGCTGAATTTAAAATTTTCTATTGACAAAAGAAACCAAGAAACAAACTACAGTACAGAGTTCAAGTCATAGTCTCTTCAAATTTCACTGAATCGATTCAAATGGATGTACTAGTATTATAAATTTTATAAGACAATTGATATAATGTGAACAATTATTTTGTTAGAATTTTAGTTTTTAAGGCAATGATTCCATCTCTACAGTATTCTCATCTCTTCAGTCCAGGAACAGACAGTATCTGATTTCTGGGGTGCAATGAAAAAATTCTTGGCTTCAGGAAGCCTCAAGTAATACCAGGAAATTTTAACAGCCAACAAAACAACTTGGCTGAAGATTGGAATTACTCTTTTTGAGCACAGACTTTCAGTTCACTGCAAGTTGAAGAGCAGTCATAAATAACTATCTTCACACACAGGCTAAATACACCAAGCAAAGACATGTTTCATGAAACGCACATTAGTACCACAAATTTCTCTTCCCATGTAGGTTTTTTTTCTTGCTACAGCCACATAATTACCATCAGAGACATAAACTTCTAAAAAACGAACAATCTGTATGTATTCCTAAATAAATATAATTTTGAAAAAATATGCTCACAATAACACAGAAGTGTATATGCTGAATCTATTTTCCTATTGGGGGCAAAAAAACCTCCTTCGCTATTAGAGAAAAACAAAACATTTCATAAAACTAAAATTGTGAAGAAAAGTAATATTAAAACTATTGGTTTGCACAAAACTCAAGAACTTGTCCTACCTTGGTAAAACAGTTTACATACCATAGGCTCTCAATAAGTGCTATTATTTAAAGGTTCATTTTTATCATTATTATTCCACATTTTATTGTGCGTACTGTACAGGCACTTCCATATAGTTAATCCACCCCATGGAACACTAGAGGGAATTATTATCCTACCTATATCAACATGCTCAAAAAAGGTCAAGCAATTTGTCCAAGGTTCTGTAGTTTATAATTACTTGGCTCATGACAGTACTGTCTCCTTCCAATGTTCATGATCTTTCTGTATCACGCTGACTCTCAAAGCAGTTTTTTTTAGTATGTCTCAATTTTTCTATTTTTACTTAAAAGATCATTTTTTAAATATATTTTTCCATCTGAGGTTGACAACTATGTATTATGTACTAGTACTACAATCACTGGGTGCCCAAGGAAACAAAAGATGATGTGACCTGTGTCCTAGAATTTCCACCCTGGTTTGGCTAGATTTGTTCATGTACTTTGGTATTAGCTGCACATTCCCCAGGCTCCCTTCCCCCAGCACACACAAGATATAATGAAAACCACATGAGGTTGAGATGACATTTAGGAGGATTTGTTTAGTTTTCTGGCAACTCATACTGAGGGGCCTCCCTCTTAGCCCTCAACTTCACCAAACCTCGCCTATCTGGATCCTCTGAGTAATACAAAGCTTTAGACAAATCTTTCCCCTTTGCCTTTTCTAACAGGTAACCAATTATTTTTTTTCAATTTAAATTCAATTAATTAACATATAGTATATTAGTTTCAGAGGTAGGTAACCAATTTTTTTTTTTTTTTTAGGATTGTATTTATTTATTTGACAGAGAGCAGGAGACAGAGTGAGAGAGAGCACAAGCAGGGGGAGCAGCAGAGGGAGAAGGAGAAGCAGGCTCCCCACTGAGCAGGGAACCTGATGTCGGGTTCAATCCCAGGACCCAGGGATCATGACCTGAGCCGAGGCAGACACTTAACCGACTGAGCCACCCAGGTGCCCGGTAACCAATTATTTTTAAAACCATTTTTAAACATCACAGACAGATCAATTAAATTAATTAAAACAAATAAAAAGAAATAACACTTTTCTTAAATGAAATCTATTAGGTATATCATATCTACACCACACCTTCTTGTGAAACAAGCACAATATACATCAGTGTATATAGGCTTTCTGTATTCTAAAATTTCTCTATCAATCTTGACAGAAAAATTGTTTTCCAAGTTGTCAGTCTCCTGGTCAAAATAAATGAATTCTAAACTTAAAATCTGCAACCAAGAATGTTATATATCTTCCAGCAATTCTTCTATAAAGTGCTTAGGAACTTTTTTTTTTTTTAAGATTTTTTATTTATTTGACAGGAGAGAGAGAGTACAAGCAGGGGGAGCGGCAGGCAGAGAGGCAGAGGAAGAAGCAGGCTCTCCGCTCAGCAGGGAGCCCGATGCGGGGCTCGATCCCAGGACCCTGGGATTATGACCTGAGCCGAAGGCAGATGCTCGACAACTGAGCCACCCAGGCGCCCCGCTTAGGAACTTCCTTAACCCGCAAACAGAAACTAAAAAATAGCTGTTTCTAAATACGTGATCAACATACTGTTTAATCCACCTGGTTTAGAACAGAGAACAAACCAAGGTGAGGGAAAGCACAATGAAACCATGTAAAATGAAACCTGATTTGATTCAGAATTTGTGCTAATTTGAAAGGGGTTTGAATCAAGCTTAAATTCTTAAAATTTCCCCATATTTCTATGCTCAGAACATAATTTTTCCCCGAGAAATTCAAATCTCACACATGATGCCTTTAAGCTTCTACTCCTCTACTACCTACATTTTTTTCCAACACATACCTGCCTGACCTGGTTCCTTTACTCATCAAACCACTAAAGTGTCCAACTACATAAATCATTCTCCAGTTCTCTATCTTCTCAATACCCCTAAAGGGATACAAAAACTCACAAAGATGTTGCCAGACCCCCAACAAAACAACTCAGTTAGGATTTAACATAAAATTCAAACAGGTATCTACAAATATTTTTTACTTACGATCTCTGAAAAAAACCCACATTTCGATTCATAAAAAGAAAAATTAGTTTCAACAATTTAAGAACCACTAGAGAGGAAAAAATCAATTATTTCCCATGATTAATGTAGTTATTCACAGTAACTGTTATAAACACAGCTGTGTTGTCAAGGAGTTTTAGTTTCCTAAATTTTATATTTGGAAAATATACAATCGACAACTTGTACCAAAAAACATCTTTAGTACTGTTATTGATCTTGATTTAAAGAAAATTAAATTCTACCAAGATATACTATTAAACCACAGCATCAAAAAAATTAAATACAGCCTAATCAAAACCAGCATGATTACAATTATTCGAAGCAAATTATGTTCATATAATTTCCAGATAAATCCAAATTTTTTAATCCTCAAAAAATATAAAATTACCATATTAGCAATTTTTAAACTTAAAATTTTCATTGTTAAAATGGGCTTGCAACATAATTCTTAATATAGGCACTTCATTCCATTTCCTACATTCAGACACTCAATTATCTCAAAATTAAAATCTTGACACCAATAAATTCAATCTATTAAAGTGATTTTAATCCACAAGACTTTAAAAGTAATGTTTCTGAACAGAGATTACAAATAATTTGCACATATAAACAAAAATGCAATTTCAACAATAGCTAGCACTTGCTTAATTACTTGTCATGCGAAATGCTGCAGAGGCACAGCAAATTTCCTTGTAAAAAACGGAACAGACACAATTTATTTTAGAATAGGCACTCACCACTTCTTCCAATGCAGCACTTCGCCCAAAAGAACAAGTGAGGTGTGTGAGGCAATTAACAAAGGACGAGAAAAGTTCGTTTGGAATGGCAGTTAAAACATTTCGAGGGAACACAGTTATCAGGTTGCTGATAATGCTGGAGATTCCCACAGCTTCTGAATCTTCTATTTCAATTCTACAAATCAAATAATGAGTATTATTAAGTGGTGGTAGAAGAAAAGTCCCAAGAACTCATTTCCAAACATGCAAATATTATCACCCATTCATTTTTAAAGGCGTGTCTCTGTGTATTAATTTCAAATTACCCATATAACTATACTTCAGAATATAAACAGGGAAAAAAAAAATCACTGGTTTTTCTCCTCTAATGTTAAACACAAAGAAAAAACTGAAAGTTCCTTTTTCAGTTATAAAGGGCATGTATACCTACCCATTGATAGTATTCAGTAATCCCTCAATGAAGTGTGCTAGATAATCAACTTGTGATCCTTCATCGGGGAAGATAGGTCCATGAAGAGAAGCTAACTGGGCAAGGCACTGAAGAGAATCTTGTGCCATATCTGAATCTTCTCTGATTTTTCGATGTACCTGTTAGAAAGAATTACTAATCCATAAAAATAAATTCTTCTTTTGTAAGGGTCACGTGTCTATCATGCCGAATGAGGTAAGAGAAAAAATTCACTGTAGCTGGTTATTTCTAGAAAATTAATTCCTGAACTTAATTTGAAAATTGTCCCTCAGTCCACTTTACATTACAAGCCATGATTTTAAACTTATCAAGTAATTTTTAACTGAAGGCTACCTACATTTTGAAAATTGAACTGTCTCCAGCATGTTATGACAAAGAGAGAAACAGATGCCAGCCAGTCAGACATACTGCTTCTTCTAAAAACAGCAACAACGACAGTCATCTGTATTATGCTAACTATGCCTAGCTACAGCTTCTTGCTAAAGTTAGCAGACAAGTTCAATCAAGAGTATATAGATGCTGCTTTAGCAGAAGTAAACAGTTGCACACTTAGAAAACCAATATACCTTTCAATCCCTAGACATTCACCCATTCAACCACTATATAAGCACACTCTTTCATTACTCTGAGATTGCCCACAATTTGTTTGAATTTCATTTTATCCTATACCATTGCTATTAATGGCTGAATTTTTTAAATTTTATTTAAATTATATTTAAGTCCACTTTAAACCTCATCTAGATCTTATTTCAATGATGCAATACTGATGTGAAACATCTGGTGCACAGTATTCTATACGAAGGAAATGCTCCTGAAATACTGCTCCCTAGTTTTAGTGTGTTATTAATATTCTCAGATTTTAAAAGGTTTCATTTCTGTGATCTGACATAATTAAACAGGAAAATACACTTAGGAAAGAAATTACAGGTAATTTTTTATCCTAATCTACCAACCACATTTAACGGCAACCATTTTCTACTTTCCACAAGCATCTGACTTCTCCAGCCCTTCTTTTCTTACGCAAATCTCTTTGCTTTCTGAATGTCACAGAATTTTAAACATTGGTTCTCTATTTGTTTCAAGTTACGTTCACTTTGACTCTGCAAATCATTTATAAATTACTTGAAGTTACCATCTTTCTCTTAAGTATTCACAGGTACATTTTTGGGACACAGTGAACAGACACTCAAATCCTTATTCACAGACTGATTTCATTAATCTTTAAACCTTGAACTTCTTAAGGCTGTAAGAAATTTAAAATACTAAAGAGTCACAAAGTTAACTGATCTATTGACATGTTTAAAATATTCCACCCTCTTTGGTCTAGAACGGGGGTTGGCAAACCATAGCCTATGGCCAAATCTGGCCTCCTGCTTATTTTGTATGGCCTATCAGATGGTTTTTACATTTCTACAGGGTTGAGGAAAACAAAATCAAAGAAAAATGTTAATTTCAAACATAAGACAATTATACAAAATTCACATTTTAATAACTGTGAATAAAGTTCTACAGGAACACTGCCACACTAATTTGTTTAGGTATCATCATGGCTGCTTCTGTCCGACAAAATGGCAGAGCTAAACAGCTGCCTCAGAGAACATATGACCTGCAAAGCCAAATATTTACTACCTGGTCTTTACAGAAAAAGTCTGCCAATCCCTGGTCTAGAATAACACAAATGTTTCTCAAAATACACCCTATTACATTTTAAGTTTTAAACAGTAAATTAAAAGTATAATACACAAATTCATATATCTACATTGTCCAATTCAAGAACTTCTGAACACAACTCATTCTCAAATTCCTTATCTGAAAACTGTAACTAAATTTCTCTCATCATGCCTTTTAACCTAATCAACATTTAAACATGTTATCCAGGGGTACATTCTGCCAATGAATATAATGCAATCCCGGACAATAGAGGTTTTCTTTTCTACCTATAGAGCTAAATGTTGCTCATTCCTGGTCGAAAAGTGAGGACTCAAAATATATGATGACCGAAATAGCTAATGTTGATTATGTAATAAAATAAAATAAAGAAACTGCCTCAGAGCCTGCATGTACTACTGTTCAAACTTATGTTCTCTGAAATATGAACCATATAAAACTCATGATAAACCAATGATTAATTCTTGTATAATATAGTAGATTCTTGCTCTTCTTCCAATGTCAGCATTACAAAGGAGTTCTACCGCAACTGAACTATATTATACAAATTAAAAACTGAATTTATCACCTGAATAGGAAAAGCAGAGGGATACAGAAAAGCAAAGTCTAGCAGAACACCCAAGGAGGTGAATGGCGAAGCAAGACAAGGAGTAAAGAGAAGCAAGTTAGTAAGATAAATTCTATTGGAACATGCTGAATCTGAGATGTCTGTGGGCCATCCAAATTAAAACATCGAGTAAGCACTTGGATTATAAGGCTCTGGAACTCTGGAGCAGCCTGTGCTGAATATAGATTTAGGAGTCATCAGTGCAGAAGTGGCGCTTGAAGTCCTACGTGTAGAAGAGAGAGCCCAAGAAAAGTGTATACAGTCAGCAAAGTTGAGAACTAAGAGAGAACACTAGTAAGTTTTGCAGTAAGCAGAGAAAATAAGAGACCATAAATGAGGTCAAGGAGAATCAAAAAGGTAGGAGGAAAAACTAATGAGAGTGGTTTTTCTAATACCTTATGGAAGAAAGAAAAATTGAGACATCTGTAAACTTTTGAGGGACAGAATGAAACCTAAAGTATTCCTAAATTCAGATGTGACCAACATATTTAAAGTCTTAAATTTATGCAATAGTATGTCTACCTACTCAAATCTAGAGAAATAAGGATATCCAATAGAAAACTGCTTTCTATTAGGTAATGAATTCACATAATTGCAAATAAATGAATGAAAGTAAATGATTAGCCACTGCCATTTTTGTAATAAATTACAAATAAAACTCCTTAATGAAAGCAATAGGCCACAAACACAAAAATGTTAAAATAACACAGTAAAAAGGGTTAACTCTCAACTTCAGAAGCTATTTGCATGGGGTGGTTCACAGCTGACAGGAGCAGCTGTCTAGTTTGTCTAGACAGCTGTTCAGATTTGGGGGAGCTGTTTCCAGTACTGCCAGCAAGTTTTTCACCTTTTCAAAAACTGCTGGAATGGGATCTTCTTTCAGTCAAATGAATAACACAAAGAACTGAACTTGGATATGTATCAAAACAATTTCTGTCAGATGTGGCAGGCAACAGAATTTGTTAATTTAGTTACAATCAGTACTTTGGTACTGACAATGTTTTTAGTCATCATTTTTCTGATTTAAAGAATAAAATGTAAGGTAATGTTTATTCCGAACATTTCTATTTTATTTCATTTTTACGTATAACCATGGATGACTAACCTTATTCCAGGTATTGTAAAATATATACCACAAAACTACAATGTTTTAAATGGTTTGATCAGAAAAGGAAGGCAGTTGTAAGGATAGTAAATAATGTTTTTCTAACAAATGAAAAGGTAAGAAACTAAAATGGTTGGGATTAAGTAAAAGGGCTTCCTTTTTTTTTTTCTTTAAGATTTTATTTATTTATCCGACAGAGAGAGAGACAGCGAGAGCAGGAACACGAGCAGGGGGAGTGGGAGAGGGAGAAGCAGGCTTCCCGCCAAGCAGGGAGCCCGACGTGGGACTCGATCCCAGGATTCCGGGATCATGACCCAAGTGGAAGGCAGACGCTTAATGACTGAGCCACCCAGGCGCCCCATCCTTTCTTTTTTTCTTAATTGGTCTTTATTTGGATTTTTACCCCAGTCATTATATCTAACTAACTTGTGTGCTTACACTATTAACAGCAAATCAGCATCCCTCCCCACTCCATATACACATTTTTTTCACCAGCTTTGGACTACTGTAGTGGGGACCCTCATGAGCAAACATAGGAACATATTGCTTACTTCTTGATATTTAGCAAATAATAAACAGGACTATTTAAAGTTATAATTGAGGGTGCCTGGGTGGCTCAGTTGGTTCGGCGACTGCCTTCAGCTCAGGTCATGATCCTGGAGTCCCATGATCGAGTCCCGCATCGGGCTCCTTGCTCAGCAGGGAGTCTGCCTCTCCCTCTGACCTTCTTCCCTCTCATGCTCTCTCTCTACCATTCTCTCTCTCAATAAATAAATTAAAAATCTTTAAAAAAAATGAAGTTATAATTGAAATAAACTGCTATTCAATAACACTAACTTAACCCATGACTGATAAATTAGTACATAAAAAAGTATACTACTCTACTACAGTAGTTCTCAAAGTGTGGTCCTGGGATCCTAAGACATTCCTAAGACCATGTCAGGTTATCTATAAGGGCAAAACTATTTTCATACTAATACTAACACAGTATCTGCCCTTTCCATTCTCACTGTCATACATGTATACAGTGGAGTCTCCTCAAGGTTACTTTACCTGTAATAATATTACAACCAACTGGATGCAGAAGCAGATCTGAGAATCTGGCTATCTTCTATTAAGCATAACATTTGAGTTCTGCAAAATTATAAAACAATGCCACTCTTTTCAGGAAACTTCCCTATAGCTATTTGTTCACTAAAATGTTATTTATGTTAATATGTAATGGTTTGGTGTTGCTATTTATTTTTTTTTTAAGATTTTATTCTCAAGTAATCTCTCTACCTGACATGCGGCTGGAACCCAACCCTGAAATCAAGAGTTGCATGCTCCACCGACTAAGCTAGCCAGGTGCCCCCTCGTATTGCTATTTTTAAATGAATTAATTACTTTTTAAAGTTTTCAGTTTGAATTTTTAATATGGTAAATATTAACAGTTATAACCCCATAAACAAAAGCTGTTCGGAGTCGTCAATAATTTTTAAGAATGTAAAGGGGTCTTGAGATCAAAAAGTTTGAGAACTTCGGCTCCAGGATATCCAACTGTTCATACTTGAATAACATTTTTATAAATTAGCAAGAACATTTCTATATAATTTCTATTTAAGCAGATGTATTGGTTAGAAGAGAAGGCTTCAGAGGAGAAAGCAATCTGTCCTATTTTACTTAAAAATACAAAACATGTACTCTTTTCAGTGGCACTCTTCCTTGGCCTTCACCACCAGAGATGAAAAGCAAGACTTACTGTGAAGAACAGCTCCATAACTCTGCTATCCAGAAGAGTCTCCCGCCAGGACTCTGTTGGCTTTAACAGCACATTTTGTGAGGATTCAAACATAGCTATATAATGTCTGCCCAGTTATCTAGTGTCAAGGTCAACAACAATAACATTCTTACTTTGTCTAAAGTATAAGTATATCCTAAATATAACAGGAGCAATCCAGAAAGAATGTAATGGAAACAGTTTAAGCCTCTTCACATAAGCTACATAATTCATGCATGAAGCTAAGGAATAAAAGGCATTAGGTGCTTAAAAAAAAAATGCTACAGGAATATAAAATCACAGTTTCATCAGAATTACGTGTCATGCTGCAGGGATATAAAAACTTTGATAATCAGAGATCTTAATGGTAGCAACAAAAGGAAAAATGTGACTATAAAACTGATGCCAAAATATATACAAGGAAAAATCAATTTCTGAATATTTATCCCACCATTTCCCCCAATATCTTATTAACAGCTAAAACTACATATACAAAATGTAAGTCTCATAAAAGACTACTTGAAAAAATAGTATTTTTCCCAAAGAAGTATATTCACTAGGTAACAAAAAAAGAACAAGAGCAAATATACATCATACTGAAGCAGAAAAACTCCCACACATTAGATTATGCAAATACCAATTCCAGACAAAGAAATAATCAGTTTATGTACAACTCTATAGATACTCATTTAAAATGCCACAGACTAAAAATCAACTTTTATGGTGTTCAAGTGTTTCAATATCAAACATGCTTCTAATGGAATCCTATCTTTGCCATACTTCAAATAACCATAATATACTTGTAAGTGTCCACGAATATAATTCACGCAAGGACACTGATGTAGAAACTGAGGTTTTTAAGAAAAGGGAAAGCTGTCTGGGCATGAAGAGAGTAGTTATGCCCCTTCCACTGCTAATCAGATGTCCAGCTAAATACATCAACAGGGCAACATTCTCATCACTCAATGAGAAATTTCAAAAATAGTTATCCAAAACTATAGCTTGCAAAAATTAGACACAAGTTCAAATGCTGTATTTTCATTAAAGCCCAAATCATTAACAGAGAACATTAAAGACTATGAAAATGCTTTGGAAATCATTTTTTAAAAGATTATTACTTAACCCCCTTTTGAAATATCTAATATTTTGTCTCAAGAGCAAGAAGGGGACTACGAGTTGTTTCAGAAGAGAAATCTGCTTGCTTATTTTGGAAAAATTGCTCCAAAAATGTTCTGCAACTCCATTTGACTGATGAATAAAAGTGAAATTCAAGTCAGTCACATAATTTCACTTTTCTCTTCCTTTATCTGCCCCCTTGTGGAGGTGCAGGGAAAGAGTCAAGAGATACAAGAGCAACGGTTAAAACAAAGTAAGCCTGGATTTTAGAGAGAAAAAAAAATCAGCCCATGAGTACTAAGAGTTTTCAGTGTGTTAATTGTTTTTTAAATGATTTCACTTTCTCACTAGGCACATATCTTGATCTTATGTTGTTAATGTGTTCTGCATTCAGAATATACTGATTGAATACTAGGTATTTTTACATGTTGTCTAAAATGAAGGCTTATCTTAGAGAAACAAGTATTTGTGGATGAAATCATAGGGTGTCTAGGATTTGCTTTACAATTATCTGAAGATGGAAGAGTATAGATTGAAACAAAAACTTAGAGCTAATGAAGCTGGGTATTTTATTTTTGCACATCTTTGAAATTTTCCACAATAAAAGTCTGGGGCATAAAAAAAGGTTTGAGCATATGAAATAAAGTACCCAAGAGTAAGGCAATAAATTCTTTGTACTTCATAAAAAATATTCCACTTATTTTTTTTCCAGCTCTATTTTCCTTAAATTTCAATGTCCCATTTTATTATTAAAAGGCAATGATTTTGATATATACTGTTCAGTAATGAAAAATTATTACTTATGCTCAGTACTGTGTTGAGCACCTGCATAAAGAAAATCATGACAATCTCCTTCCAATTTTTTAGGAGTTTGCAATCTTATAGTAAAATGGTAACAAACTTATTTTTTGGACATCCAGATCTAACAAACAAAATATATGTGTATAATTTTACTAAATATTTTCATCTAGAAAAATAACAGAATTAGTACTTCATATGCTTACAAAAGGTATAAATTGATTGATTGATTGATCAGAGAGAGCATAAGCAGGGGGAGCAGCAGGCAGAGGGAGAAGGGAGAAGCAGCCTCCCCACTGAGCAAGGAGCCCGATGCGGGACTGTCCTGGGATCATGACCTGAGCCGAAGGCAGATGCCTAACCGACTGAGCCACCCAGGCGTCCCAAGTATAAATTTATTTTTAAATTAGGTGGGATATGAGACAGATTCACATAACCGTAGTAAAATGGTCCGTCTCAAAGCAGACCATCTGTCAATTTTCTTATTAATATAGCCACCCAGGCAGCGAGCAAGTGCAAGCTGCTCTCTCTCAGAGTAAGAAAGACAAATACTTCAGGTGCTGGTACCTGCAAGAGAAAGCTAAAATCTAAAACCCCCAAGAACCCTACACAATTCAAGCACAGAGGAAGAATACTGGGAGAATAGTGGCAAAAGTAAAGTGAGTAATATTTATGTCTTGGAAATATAGAAAATCTCATTCCAAGGGAAGGCAAGGATTCTCCTGCATCCTAAGTAAGCCTCCTGGTTATACTCAACAAGGGGTTGCCAGTGTTCTTCAGTGAGCGGAAGGTGATCACTTCAAAGATTAGTAAGTATTACAAAAGGAAACAAAACCTAAATCAAGATACTTGTTTAATTCTCTTTTCTACCCTTTTTGTATTTAGAAAAAGTGTATGCTCCATAAATTCTTATGGATAGCAAGGATTTATATTAAGAGAAAATGGAAAGACATACATTTGAGAGAGGGCTTTTCCCAGATATGAAATGGAATTAATTGCAATTGCTCACCTAAACTTCAGGTTCAAAATAATCCTCAATTCTTTAATTTTCTTAAATCCTGGTTTCAGCTTCCCTGATCCTGGTCTGTTTTAAACATACTTTCCCTAGTGCCCAGTATGTACAGCCAAATTTCTTCTAAAAGCTGACAAGTATATTTTTAAAATGTTAATTCCTTACATTTTGCTAACACCACATGGAGATCTGTGAGTTCTGTATGTGACATCTATCAGAAAATACTTTCCCCCTAATTATTTTATTTTTTAAAGATCTTATTTATTTATTTGACAGAGAGAGAGAACACAAGCAGGGGGAGCAGCAGAGGGAGAGGGAAAAGCAGACTCCCCGCTAAGCAGGGAGCCCGACGTGGGGCTTGATCCCAGGACCCCAGGACCATGACCTGAGCCGAAGGCAGACGCTTAACCGACTTAAGCCACCAGGTGCCCCGGTCCCCTAATTATTTTAAAGTTCATGTGAGTTTTTTGTTTTCCAACTCCAAACCTAGAAAGGACTTTTTATCTTGACATGTTGTTTGCCTTTTTTTTTTTTTTAAGATTTTTTATTTATTTATTTGACAGAGAGACACAGCGAGAGAGGGAACACAAGCAGGGGGAGTGGGAGAGGAAGAAGCAGGCTTCCCGCCAAGCAGGGAGCCCGATGCGGCGGCTTGATCCCAGCACCCTGGGATCACGAACTGAGCCACCCAGGCGCCCCTGTTGTTTGCCTTCTATTAGAAAGCTCATTTATAACACATTTCGCTCAGAGGTTACCCTAATTGTTAATTAGGGTAATTAATTAATTAATCTACAACACTGCAGACTTAACTACCTTCTCCTTATAAGTCAGCCCACCACAACCACCACCACCATTTTTGCTTAGTAAAGGTGCACACATACTCACGTTGGTACAATAAGATACAACCATGTAATTTAATTACAAATAATATTTCTGTTGAAAGAACATGTAACTACCCCAAAAGCATTTTAACAAAAACTTAAACATTAAAAGCAACAAAAAAACAGTGTAATAATGAATGGAAAAAATTTTTAAGAACAAAGCTATTCGGACAAGAAATACATGTTTTAGTTAGCAGACTGTGCTGTGAAACTGCTAATGTGGTTACCTTCATAAGAAGCTATGAGGGGACACCTGGGTGGCTCAGTTAGTTAAGCGTCTGCCTTCGGCTCAGGTCATAGTTCCAGAGTCCTGGGATCGAGTCCCGCATTGGGCTTCCTGCTCGGCGGGGAGTCTGCTTCTCCGTATCTCCTCTGCTCTTGTTCTTTCTCTCTCTCTCTCAAGTAAATAACAAACAAACTTCAAAAAAAAAAAAAGCTATGAGGGTTCTTCTGTATTACCTGAAATATTGTTACTATGAATGTACAAGTATTACTTTTCAATTAAAAAAACAATAGTGAGAAGCCTATCACAATGTGAATAGAACAGTCATATATAGATCTGGACCACACCTGTACATTCAAAATGTAAAAAATCAGGGTAATTCAATTTTTGATTTGGTACTGCCAATTAATTGACTATTTCTGTATATTTGTATAAGACACCCCAAAATACCACTTCTTTCCCAGATAATTCGTAATGTAGACTACTTTAAAAACAAAAGACTACCTCTAAAATTCAGAAATCCAGTATTTCTATTCTTTTTTTTTTTTAATAAAGATTTTATTTCAGAGAGAGAGAGAGGAGGAGCAGAGGGCAAGGGAGAAGGGCAACCTGACTCCATGATGAGTAGAGCCCAACGCGGGGCTTGCTCCCACAACCACAAGATCATGACCTGAGCTGAAACCAAGTGTCAGACACTTAACCGACTTGAGCCACCCAGGTACCCTAGCATTTCTATTCTTAAGACAACATTTTAAAAATGATTTAAAGTTTTGATTTATGCTACTACATTAACATGCCATAATATCTACACATTATACTGCTTTATCTTTTTCATCCAAAAAGTCTAACAATGAAGTGATTATTTACTAATTAATCATTTATTATACCTATTATACACCTATCAGATTTTAGGAGACCTACAACTCACAACAGGTTGATACTAGTTAAATAGCTACCATTTACCAAAATCTGAATCAGATTTTAAATCAATAATTTTTTCGGCCTATGGCTTTAAACATTTATCTACAATAAATACTGAACTCAACTAATTTATATTTTGTATCA